AAAACGAAGTTTGGGGGGGTATATAGGAGTCACTCGGTGGTCGGTCGGTCGGTCGGTCGGTTGGTCGGTCGGGCGGGCGGTCGGTCGGTCGGTCGGTCGGTCCAGACGTCCGTTGCATTTTCCTTGTCCGGAGCATAACTTGAAAACTAATAGTTGGAATTCAATATAACTACATACAATGGTCAAGCACATTGAGAGGAAGTGCAGTGCACAAGAACCATAACTCTATCTTGACTAATTACAGAGTTATTGCCCTTTGTTACTTTTCCTTGTCCGGGGCATAACTTGAAAACTACTGGTTGGAATTTAAAACAACTTCATACAATTGTCAAACACAATAAGGGGAAGTGCAGTGCACAAGAACCATAACTCTATCTAAAGTAATTACAGAGTTATTGCCCTTTGTTGCTTTTCCATTGCTTTTTTTTTTGTCCGTTGCATTTTCCTTGTCCGGAGCATAACTTGAAGACTAATTGTTGGAATTCAATATAACTACATACAATGTTCAAGCACATTGAGAGGAAGTGCAGTGCGTAAGAAACATAACTCTATCTTGACTAATTATAGAGTTATTGCCCTTTGTTACTTTTCCTTGTCCGTGGCATAACTTGAAAACTACTGGTTGGAATTCAAAACAACTTCATACAATTGTCAAACACAATAAGGGGAAGTGCAGTGCACAAGAACAATAACTCTATCCAAAGTAATTACAGAGTTATTGCCCTTTGTTGCTTTTCCATTGCCTTCTTTTTTTGTCCGGACCATAACTTGAAGACTAATGGTTGGAATTCAATATAACTACATACAATGATCAAGCACATTGAGAGGAAGTGCAGTGCATAAGAACCATAACTCTATCTAAAGTAATTACAGAGTTATTGCCCTTTATTACTTTTCCATTGCTTTCTTTTGTCCGGACCATAACTTCAAGACTAATTGTTGGAATTCATTATAACTTCATACAATGGTCCAGCACATTGAGAGGAAGTGCAGTGCACAAGAACCATAACTCCATCTTGATTAATTACAGAGTTACTGCCCTTTGTTTCTTTTCCTTGTCCAGAGCATAACTTTAAAACTACTGGTTGGAATTCAAAACAACTTCATACAATGGTCAAGCACAATAAGGGGAAGTGCAGTGCACAAGAACCATAACTCCATCTTGACTAATTACAGAGTTATTGCCCTTTGTTTCTTTTCCATTGCTTTCTTTTGTCCGGACCATAACTTGAAGACTTATTGTTGGAATTCATTATAACTTCATACAATGGTCAAGCACATTGAGAGGAAGTGCTGTGCATATGAACCATAACTCCATCTTGACTTATTACAGAGTTACTGCCCTTTGTTACTTTTCCTTGTCCACAGCATGACTTGAAAACTACTGGTTGGAATACAAAACAACTTCATACAATGGTCAAGCACAATAAGGGGAAGTGCAGTGCACAAGAACCATAACTCCATCTTGACTAATTACAGAGTTATTGCCCTTTGTTACTTTTCCTTGTCCAGAGCATAACTTGAAAACTACTGTTTGGAATTCAGTACAACTTCATACAGTTGTCAAGGACATTAAAAGGAAGTGCAGTGCACAAGAGCCATAACTCCATTTTGACAAAATACAGAGTTACTGCCCTTTGATACTTTTCCTTGTCCGGAGCATAACTTAAAACGTACTGGTTGGAATTCAAAACAACTTCATACAATGGTCAAGCACAATAAGAGGAAGTGCAGTGCACAAGAACTATAACTCTATCTTCAGTATTTATAGAGTTATTGCCCTTTGTTCTTTTTCTTTGTCTTTCTGGACTTATTACAGAGTAATTCAATTAAACTTCATCAATGGCCAACCACATTCAAAGGAAATGCGACATATATGAACAACAATTATCTTTAATTGCCCACAACCATAACTCTATGTTTCAATTCTTTTAAAAGGTATTCTGTTACTAGTAACATCCTCATTTCCGAAGCAGACTTGTGGGGGTATTAATCACATTTAGTGATAGTTCTAGTATAAAGAAAAAAAACATTGTTATATCAAGACACAGCTTAGGATTGCTACCCAGATGTCTGTGATCAAGGTCAAGGCCACTGTTACTAAAAATGGAAATTCAGTTTCCACTCAATAACTTAAGTTTGCTTAGGCCTATTGACACCAAACTTAGTGTATAGGTAGCTGCTTTGGATTGTTACCCAGGTGTCTTTGATTAAGGTCAAGGTCACCATTATTAAAAATAGAAATTAAGTTTCTGCTCAATAACTTTAGTTTGCTTAGGCCTATTGACACCAAACTTGGTTTATAAGTAGCTTATATCAAGATGCATCTTGGGATTGCTACCCAGGTGTCTGTGATTAAAGTCAAGGTCACTGTTACTAAAAATAAGAATTCAGTTTCCACTCAATAACTTTAGTTTGCTGTGGTCTAATGACACCAAGCATGGTGTATGGGTAGCTTATATCAAGACGCAGCTTGGGATTGCTACCCAGATGTCTTTGATCAAGGTCACTGCTACTTAAATTAGAAATTCAGTTTCTGCTAAATAACTTTAGTTTGCTAAGGCCAATTGACATCAAACTTGGTGTATGGGTAGCTTATATCAAGAGGCAGCTTGGGATTGCTACCCAGATGTGCTTAATCAAGGTCAAGGTCACTTTTGCTAAAATTATAAATTAAGTTTCTGCTCAATAAATTCAGCTGCTTTACCTATTTCACAAAATTAATTATTGGGGATTATAAAAATTTTATCGGGGGCAATTTTGCAAAAAAAAAATTTGTCTTTTTTCCATAAAATTGAGTTTGCTTAGCCTATTTCACCCAAATTTTTATGGTAGCTCTAAAAGGCAAAATTGGGATGCTACCCAGGGTCTTGAAAAAAGGTCAAGGGCAATTTCCTAAAAAAAAAAGTTTTAAATTCCACAAAAATTTGTTTGCTGTGACCTATTACACCAAAATTGCTGTGGGGTTTGACTTCTGGAATTGATGATCTTGGTTTGAATTATGGACTTTGCATCTTTTTGCTCCCGCAGGTATGGTTTTCCCCCCGTGTTTCTTAAAGTTTTTTATTGGGTTAGCCAAAAATTTTCTTTTCCCGTTTTTTAGATAATTTAAAAATTTTTGACCAAATTGTATTGGTAAAACCAAACAAAACGAAAAAAAAGATTCATATTTTGACAAAAGACAAGACATGTTGAATTATTTCTATATGACCTTGACCTTTAATTAACCTTGACTGAAGGTCAAATTATTGAAATTTGCTCAATTTGTCACAACTTTAATTATGGTTATGTTACATTCTTGGACAAAATTGCATATATGACAAAACTGACATGATGATTATTCAAATGTGGCCTTGACATTTAACTGACATTGACTGTGAAGGTCAAACTATTGAAAGTTTAGTTATATTTTGTACAAGACAAAGGTGTTTTCTTGGTAAATTATTTACTACATTTTTTTTTTCTCAGATGTTTTTGATTTGGAAATAAAAAAAATACAGTGTAACCTCAACTTAGCAATGTCTTTTGTTATACATCCAGGACTTAGCAGTGGCTTTTGTTATACATCCAGGGGTCAATGTTTCAAGATTTAAAGGATTATATTATTCACTCAATACACAAAACATGTTAAATATGAGGTATTTAAGGAACCCAGCTTTAAGCTCTTATTTTTTAAGGCCATATATTTGCGGAAGGAATTTTGTTTCCTCTCTTTATCTCTTGGACTGTTTGTCATAAGTACTATGTATAACTTTCTATCCTTTTTATATGCCCGAAAGAATTTCGGGCATATTATGTTATACCCCCTGGCGTCTGTCTGTCTGTCCATACGAACCCAGAGGTACTTGTGTGACTTGGAGAACAATGGGTATCAGTAAATTCTCTTTGATCCTATTCATTCTATTTTTACTTGTGTGTCTTTTTTTATGCCTTGTGTGACTAAAAATGGCCAAAAAGATCAAAGGAAAAGTCACATAAGTACCATTTTGGGAGTATGTCCATCTGTCCATCTGTTAGCAATTTGGTTTCCGGAGCATAACTTAAGTTCCATTTGGCCCCCAATATTCAAACTTTGTAGGATGATTGTCCATATTAGGTAGAAGATCCCTATTGATTTGGGGGTCACAAGGTTAAAAGTCAAGGTCACTATTACTTTAAAAATGAAAGCAGTTTCTGGAGCATAACTTAAGTACCATTTGGCCCATTGTGTTCAAACTTCATAGGATGATTGTCCATATTGGGTAGAAGACCCCTATTGATTTTGGGGTCACAAGGTCAAAGGTCAAGGTCACTATTTCCTTAAAACTCAAAACAGTTTCTGGAGCATAACTTATGTTCCATGTGGCCCACAGTGTTCAAACTTCATAGGATGATTGTCCATATTGGGTAGAAAACCCCTATTGATTTTGGGGTCACAAGGTCAAAGGTCAAGGTCACTATTACCTTAAAACTGAAAACAGTTTTCGGAACATAACTTAAGTTTCATTTGGCCCACAGTGTTCAAACTTCATAGGATGATTGTCCATATTGGGTAGAAGACCCCTAGTGATTTTTAGGGTCACAAGGTCAAAGGTCATGGTCACTATTACTTTAAAACTGAAAACAGTTTCCGGGGCATAACTTAAGTTCCATTTGGCCCACAATATTCAAACTTCATAGGATGATTGTCCATATTAGGTAGAAGACCCCTATTGATTTTGGGGTCACAAGGTCAAAGGTCAAGGTCACTATTACCTTAAAACTGAAAACAGATTCGGGGCATAACTTAAGTTCCATTTGGACCACAATATCCAAACTTCATAGGAGGATTGTTATTTGAAGGATTATACTTTATTTAATTCTAGTGTCTTACATATGCTTCATCTTTACTAAAAAAAAAATCACTTTCGGGCATATAATGCTCCGCCTAGCGGTGCTCTTGTTGAAAAAATGAAAATTGTATTATGGACACCTAAAAAATTGTTGATTGTATAGAACTGTGATGTTTATTTTGCTTAAAGGTCAGAGCAAAACTGATGATAAGCTGTCTGGAGAAAGCATGGCAGAGAAGGAGGTGCTGTTAGAAAGTAACCCTGTTTCTGACAATGAATCAAGAAATGAAGGATACAGTAGTGAGATCAAAAAGGAACCCATACCAGCTGAAGAAGAGGAAGGTATTCTTACTAGGAAAGAAGATATTAAAGGCCATGAAGAACATAACGAAACAAGTGGTAAAGAAAGTCAGGATGCCAATTACACACAAAACCAATCAGATAACACAGACCAGGTTGTTGCAGAGGAAAGTAGAAACTTAAACAAAGAGGACGTTAGAAATGAATTAAATGTTGAGAAGGATTCTGTGGAGACTAGTTTTAAACCAGATTCCACTGAGAAAAAGTCTAACAGTTCTGATGATTCTAAAGATTCCCATTGTGATGCTACAGATCAAATCAAAGACAAAACTCTACAAAATGAGGAGGAAAAAGGGAGTGTAACCATGGATTCTGAAGATGATTCTGAGTTTGATATTGGTGAAACCAAAGGTTGTGGTGGAGCAGCCTCCTTAGGCACTGATAATGATCTAGGCTCTGGAACTCTTACTGGGGAAGCTAAAAAAAAGCAAAAGAAAAATAAGAAGAAAAGAAAGAAAGACAGAGATTTAAGTAAACAAGATGATAAGACAGATAATGCGAAATCTAAGAGCAAAGAAATTGATAAAACAAAATCAGAGTCCAAACAAGATATAGACAAAAAAAATCAAGAAAATAAATCACTAGAAACTTCAGATATGACACAAGCAAACCCAAGTGATAGTGATGGCAGAGTCTTTGGACAAGCTAAAACTTGGAAAACACCAGAAAATGTTGAGACATCCAAACCAAATGATTCAAGCATAATCAACACAAGCAGCAGTAAGACAGATGATGCGAAATCTAAGAGCAAAGAAATTGATAAAACAAAATCAGAGTCCAAACAAGATATAGACAAAAAAAATCAAGAAATTAAATCACTGGAAACTTCAGATATGACACAAGCAAACCCAAGTGATAGTGATGGCAGAGTCTTTGGACAAGCTAAAACTTGGGAAACACCAGAAAAAGTTGAGACATCCAAACCAAATGATTCAAGCATACTCAACACAAGCAGCAGTAACGATGCTCAAGGAAATGTCACGACAGTACAGGATGACCAAAAAGTACAAGACAATTTTGATGATCCAAAAATAGGTCCTGAAAAAGACAAATCTACAGATGAAGACAAATCTAGCTCAGAAGATGACAATGATATTGAAGGAGATAATGACAATAGAGGCATAAAAGAAAAAGATGGTAATGGACAGTTACCAAATGAAAACCAAGAGGGTGTAAGGGAAACAAATCCTGCAGTGAAGGAGACTGATATTGACACTGGGCAAACTATACATATACCTAAAAGAAAGAAAAAGAAGAAGAAAAAGAAAAAGAATAAGGTAAATCGTTTTCATTGTTCAAGAATTTAAAGTAGCATTAAATAAATATGTAAAAATGTTTTGCCGTCGGCCTAAAAACCAAGCATTCTACAGTTTCTTTAATCTTTTTAACAGTATTGTTGTAAATCGTTCATGAATTACATTTTTTACGAAAAAGCCTACGGTAACACTAAAGTTCGTATACGAATTTTAACATGCAAATGAAGACTATATTCAGCTTGTGTATGCGCTATGTCAAATTGTTTAAGTTGCTATACGGACACGTACAGCAAATATGAAATTTTCTTGTGCAAACACACTAACCGTTTTTGCTTCAAGGTGCACTAGGCCTGGCGTTCAGGAAAAAGTACTCCTCTCATCAAAAATATTAAATTTGTATGACAAAATCCATTACAATGCGGAAATATACCGTTAAATTAGGACTGCTACTTAGAGTCATGTTTGTTAATTTAATATTGAAGTAAGGATGATCTGAAGGCGGAGTTTCACATGCAAACAGAAAGTGTACTTCAGATTTCGCACAATGACGTTGCAGATTTTATGCTGATAAAACTCATTGTGGTTGTCTGGACACCAAAATAAGATCTGGAGTCGATGTGAAACCCAATTTATTAATGAAATGTCGCTATTTCTGTTTTTATGAAATTTGTTTAATGCAACTTTAAAAATAAGTTTTGATATGAATAGAAGGATATTCTGTAGTCCATCTCCTTTCATTTGTCATTTGAATTGAACAGCTGTTTCCTCTAAAAGTAGTAATGCTAGGCTTTAACACACCTGGTCATGCTCAGGTGATGTATTTTGAGCATCTGCTATCAACTTTTGAGATAAACAACATCTTATTATAAATCCATTTGTAAATTGTTATGAAGTAAATTGTAATTAAAGAAGTTTTCCTTTGAATTCTCATATGATAGATTATATATAACTTAACGCCATCCATTGCTTTTGCATATGGTTACATTGGTTGTATTATGGTATGGCATTTGTTGTTTCATAGATGTCTATTAGCTACATAGATGTCCGCTCACTAACTTGAGAACTATGATGTGTGCTGTCTTCTTAATAATACTGTACATGGACAGTAGGTGACCCTATTTTAAGTCATGATTAGGTGTGCTGTTTTCATAAATAGTGTGGAGGTTGGTGGTCATGGTCAGATATTCCCTATAGACTTTGAGATCAGTCAGTCTAAAGTCAAGTACACAATTGTGTTCAACAAGGAAAAAAATGTCCTCTTGATAACTATTTAGTCTTATAGGCGTTCGGCACATTGCCATCCAAATAATGGTCAAATTATCATTAAATAATCACCCCTTGATCATCAAGGACAAAATTGCTATCCAGCACCCATTTATTATATAAAATATATATAGTATAGAAATATTTACTGTTTAGACCAGTTATAGAAAATATTCTTAAACACCAGTGTAAGACAAGTCACAAGCTTTAAATAGTGTCGTTCAGGAACATCTTTATGTATGAATTTCTTACTTGGGATGAATTAAGAAATTTTGCCATTATAAATTGAATAAGCAGACAGGGTTATCTACATACACTGGTGCTTGAAAACCTGTCGTAAAACAAGTTGCATGCCTTTAATGACATCATTCCTGTATGCCTTTTATTGTGTCGCCTTGAAAAATATATAGGGGTTACTTTTGTCGGTGGTGTCGGCGTCGTTGTCGGCGTCGGCGTCCCCTTAAGCTTGTCCGGAGCATAAGTCAGTCATTATAAGTCGGATTGACTTCAAACTTGGTATGCATGCTTCTTACAATGACCCAAAGTGCAGTGCACAAGAACCGGTACTCTGCACTTCTTATTTTTTGAGTAATTGCCCTTTGTTAATTTTCATACTTTATTTTTGTCCGGGCCATTTCTCCTAAAGTATCAAATTTATGGACTTGAAACTTCATAGGATGATAGATCTCATCAAGAAGAAGTGCAGTGCACAAGAACTGGTACTCTGCATTTCTTATTTTTGAGTTATTGCCCTTTTTAATTTTCATACTTTATTTTTGTCCGGGCCATTTCTCCTAAAGTATCAAATCTATGGACTTGAAACTTCATAGGATGATAGATCTCATTTAGAAGAAGTGCAGTGCAAAAGAACTGGTACTCTGCATTTTTATTTTTGAGTTATTGCCCTTTGTTAATTTTTCATACTTTATTTTTGTCTGGGCCATTTCTCCTAAAGTATAAAAGCTATGGACTTGAAACTTCATAGGATTCAGGGGCCTCCGTGGCCGAGTGGTTAAAGTCGCTGACTTGAGATCACAGGTCCCTCACCACTGTAGGTTCGATCCTCACTCGGGTCGAAATCTTTCATGTGAGGAAGCCATCCAGCTGGCTTACGGAAGGTCGGTGGTTCTACTCAGGTGCCCGCTCGTGCCTGAAATAATGCCCGGAGGGGCACCTGGGGTCTTCCTCCACCAATAAAGCTGGAAAAAATCGACGAAAAATCTCGGCGGGACGCTCTAGGATGACCCGACTTGAGTGTACGGTCGCCCATATGGGCTTTCCGGCGGCGACCTTAAATAAACGCATAAAAAAAAAAAAAAAAATTCATAGGATGATAGATCGCATTAAGGAGAAGTGCAGTGCAAAAGAACTGGTACTCTGCATTTCTTATTTTTTTTGAGTTATTGCCCTTTGTTAATTTTCATACTTTATTTTTGTCCGGGCCATTTCTCCTAAAGAATAAAAGCTATGGACTTGAAACTTCATAGGATGATAAATCTCATTATGGAGAAGTGCAGTGCACAAGAACTGGTACTCTGCATTTCTTATTTTTTGAGTTATTGCCCTTTGTTTATTTTCATACTTTATTTTTGTCCAGGCCATTTCTCCTAAAGTATAAAAGCTATGGTTATGAAACTTCATAGGATGATAAATCTCATTAAGAAGAAGTGCAGTGCCCAAGAACTGGTACTCTGCATTTCTTATTTTTTGAGTTATTGCCCTTGTTAATTTTCAAACTTTATTTTTGTCCAGGCCATTTCTCATAAATTATAAAAGCTTTAGACTTGAAACTTAGTAGGATGATAGATCTTATTGATAAGAAGTGCAATGCACAGAAACTGCTGCTCTGCATTTCTTATTTTTTGAGCTATTGCCCTTTGTTGATTTTCAAATATCATTTTTGTCCTGGCCATTTCTCCTTAACTATATTGTTCACAAGGCGACACATCCGACTCGCGGAGTTCTAGTTAGCTCACCAGAGCCGAAGGCTCAGGGTGAGCTATTAGTATCAAAGGGGGATGCTTCGGCGTCCGTCGTCCATTGTCATGCGTCAACAATCATCTTCTTCTCTGAAATTTACTTCAAATTTGGTCTGTAGCATCCTTGTGACAGTCACACTTGAATTTGCTCATGTCTTTCCAATTGGCCCTTTTGAGGGGTCAGCAGAGCTAAAAATAGAAAAGCCTTTAAACATCTTCTTCTACAGATCACCAAACTTTGTCTGTAGCATTCTTGGGTAGTCTTTTATCAAGTTTGCTCATATTAATTTGATTGGCCCCTTTTAGGGGTCTCTAGGGCTAAAAATAGAAAAATCTTTAAACATCTTCTTTTACAGAACTAATTGATGGATAATCACTAAACTTTGTCTGTAGCATTCTTGGGTGGTGTTTTATCAAGTTTGCTCATATTAATTTGATTGGCCCCTTTTAGGGGTCTCTAGGGTTAAAAATAGAAAAACCTTTAAACGTCTATTTCTACATAACTAATTGATGGATGATCACTTAACTTTGTCTGTAGCATTCTTGGGTAGTCTTTTATCAACTTTGCTAATATTATTTTGATTGGCCCCTTTTAGGGGTCTCTAGGGCTAAAAATAGAAAAACCTTTAAACATCTTCTTCTACAGAACTAATGGATGGATGATCACCAAACTTTGTCTGTAGCATTCTTGGGTAGTGGTTTATCAAGTTTGCTCATATTAATTTGATTGGCCCCTTTTAGGGGCCGCTAAATCTAAAAATAGAAAAACCTTTAAATGTCTATTTCTAGAGAACTAATTGATGGATGATCACCAAACTTTGTCTGTAGCATTCTTGGGTAGTCTTTTATCAACTTTGCTAATATTATTTTGATAGGCCCCTTTTCTCAAGAAACTTACACATAAATCAAATAGACATGTACATAATAATAATTGTTACTTTATTTCATAAATCATTAGATGTATTGTAAACAATTAACATTAATTTTTCTAGGAGAAAGCTACTGTTGATACAGGCAGTACAACTCAAAACAAAGGAGTAAATACAAGGTGAGTTACAATATGTTTGTATAAAGTACAATATGAACTTTCCTGTTAGTTAATATTTGTTCATAAACATACACTATTATATACCTCTAACCTGTATTATTTGTATAATGGAGGTACACTGGTTTTTAATTGATGATCTCAAGAAATTTCAATAATTAAATGCTAAAATAAAGCACCAAACTGTTGTGCCCGATTAGAACTGTAAATGCTACAAAGATGTGCAGATTGGTCAAACTGCAATGTTATACAGTTGATATGGATCGCATTTGCTTACCAGTATCATTCTAGCTATTCAGAGATTTATAATGTTATATTTCCTATATTTTAATTGCTTTTTCTAGAAATTACATGAAAGAAGTACTGTATAAGCTTGTTCTACAAGTGTTCTATTAAACTATTTCTGGGGTTTAAAATCTGTAGTATAACATTTTTGCAATCACAATAATCAAAAGTAAATTAATATCTGTATTTTGTGTATATTCTGACAAGCAGCAAGACAGTATTTTTCTAGTCAAGATTTTCGATACTGTAATAATTGATGCTACTAAAGCGGGCATGCCTCTAGATGAGCCAAAATAATTCAAGAAAATCAAACTTGAGAAAAATGTTGTAAAATTTTAAGTAAAGTACAAAGATTCAAAATTCATGTAATATATTACTTGGCTAACACAGTATAAAGGACTATTTGTGTTTTTGGTAATTTACTCTGGTTGTAAGTGCTGTTTGCAATGTGTAATATATAAAACTTTCTTTTTATCTCATCGCTTTTCGTCCTGGGTCCAGCCGTCTGTAACTTGTACTTTTAAATGACATATTCTCATAAACCGCTGAGCCAATTTCATCCAAACTTCACAGGTATGTTCTTTGATGGTCACCTTAGAAAATTGTTCCATGAAGAACTCTGGTTGCCATGGCAACCCAAAGAAAACACTTAACAAATCTTCATATAAAAAAACCCAAAGAGCTAGAGCTTAGATATTAAGAATGAACATTCTCTAGTAAATGTCTACCAAGTTTTTTCAAATAAAAGCCCAGGGATCAAAATTGGCCCTGCCGCAGGGGTCAGTGATTTTCCTTATATGTATTTAGTAAAAAATTAAAAAATCTCCTCTTTTAAAGCCTGCAAAGCTAGAGCTTTGATATTTGGCATGAAACATCTTTTACTGAGTGTCTACAAAGTTAGTTCAAATAAAAGCCCTGGGGTTAATATTTGTCCTGCCGGGGGGTGGGGGGGGGGGGTGGAAAGAAGGGGGCGTCATATGCATATAGTAAAAACTTCTTTTAAAAAACCCAAAGAGCTAGAGCTTTTATATTTGCCATGAAACATCTCTTAGTTGGTGTCTACCAAGTTTATTCAAATAAAAGCCCTGGGGTCAAAATTGGCCAGACCTGGGGGGTCATTGATTTTTCTTATATGTATATAGTTCAAATTTAAAAGTCTAATTTTAAAACACCCAGAGCTAAGGTTTAGATATTAAACATGAAAGTTGTCTACCAAGTTTGTTCAATTTAAAATTTAAGCCCAGTGGCAAATTATTCTTGTTCATGGAGAGTTTTTATATTCAGGTGAGCAATTTCAGGGCCATCATGGCTCTCTTGTTTCATTCCACAATGTTTTACTTTAAAATTTATTTTCAAAATTTTTAATTAGGTGATTCATATCGGGAGAATTTGGTTAATAATGAAATATAGCTTCAATGAAATGTCTTATTTACTACTAAAACTAGAAAACATGTTTTTGTGATTGATTTTATCAAAGGCCTTATCCAGTCAAAATTGGTGATCACTTTCAATTCAAATTCTTTTAAAGTAATGCTTCTACATGGTCAGGATCCTTTAAGCATAGACAACTTAACTTTATATAAAAAAAATTGTAGAAAGATGATCATGTATGAGAAAATTCTCAAAGCTTATTGTATTACATGTGCATAGTTACTGGTATAGAAAAAATGTCATTGTTATTTTTACTTTTGTCTTATTTTTCAATTGTACAAGGGCAATTTCTTGCATTGTCTTACATTCACAAGTTTGTCCTTATTACCTGTCTACTAGAATTAAATATTGTGTTTATATCTTGAAGGAGCATGGCTAGAAATGCTGAAGAAGAGTGGTCAGTAACATTTCATGTTTTGACAAGTGAAGATTTTCATTTTCACCCTGATAAATACCAAGTCTTTATTGTGATGGGCCATGAGGAAATGGGAGGCTTGAAAAATAAAGAAAGGCAAATGAAAGTTGAAAGGTGAGGTTTATTTTACATCTCAATTAAAACAAACATAGTTAACATATTGTGTTATTATACCCCCACCACAAAATGTGGGGGGGCTATAATGGATAATGGATTTGCTTTGACGCGTTGGTCGTTCCGTCCGTCCGTCTCCATTTTTGTGTCCGCTCTATAAATCCTATACTAATTGGAGGATTTTCTTCAAACTTGGCTCAAATATTCACCTCTACAAAGGGAATGTCGGTGGTTCTACTCGGGTGCCAGTTTGTGCCTGAAATAATGCACGGAGGGGCACCTGAGGTCTTCCTCCACCAGTAAAGCTGGAACGTCGCCAAATGACCATTACTGTGTCGATGTGACGTAAAACCCAATCAAACAAACCTCAACAAGGGGATGTGCAGAACCCATGTGTCAGCTCAAGGTCAAGGTCACAATTGAAGGTCAAATATCAAAACAATCAAATATTAGACGGTATGTCGTGTCCGCTGTGTAAGTCCTACACTAATTGAAAGATTTTCTTCAAACTTGGCTCAAATGTGCACTTCAACAAGGGGATGTGCAGAACCCATGTTGCCCATGTGTCAGCTCAAGGTCAAGGTCACAATTGAAGGTCAAATAACAAACAATCAAATATTAGACAGTATGTCGTGTCCGCTCTGCAAGTCCTACACAAATTGAAAGATTTTCATCAATCTTGGCTCAAATGTTCACCTCAACAAGGTAATGTGCAGAACCCATGTTCTCCTTTTGCCGGTTTAAGGTCAAGGTGCCACTTAGAGGTCAAACATTGACTTAGAAAATATTCTTAAATTTTAACATGTATTTGAATATTTCTGAAACTTGAAAAACTTGAAACTTAAAATATATATAAAGTGTCACAATGAAGATATGCAGGTCAGGTTTCATAACTCTGTATTGCATTTTGACAAAAGTTATGCCCCATTTTAAGTTTTTAAATTTACATACAATCAAACATTAGACAATATGTAGTGTCCGCTCTATAAATCCTATACTAATGGAAGAATTTTCTTCAAACTTTACTCATAAGCTCACCTCAACAAGGTTATGTGCAGAACCCATGTTACCCTTGTCCCAGCTGAAGGCCAAGGTCACACTTGAAGGTCAAAAATTGACTTAGAAAATGTTCTGAAATTTTAACATGTACTTGAATATTTCTGAAACTAGCACAGGTATTTGCTTGAAACATAAAAGATATATGAGGTGTCTAAGGTAAGATATTCAAGTCAAGTTTCATAACTCTGTATTGCATTTTGACAAAGTTATGCCCCATTTTCAGTCTTTAAATTTACATACAATCAATACTAGTTAATATGTTGTGTCCGCTCTATGAATTCTATTCTAATGGAAGGATTTTCTTCAAACTTGACTCAAATGTTCACCCCAAATGTGCAGAACCCATCTTACCCTTGTGCCAGCTTAAGGTCAAGGCCACACTTGAAGGTCAAAAAGGTCAAAAATGTTCTGAAATTTTAACATGTACTTGAATATTTCTAAAACTAGAACAGATAATCATTTGAAACTTCAAATATATACGAAGTGTCGCAAGTAAGATATGCAGGTCAAGTTTCATAACTAAAAAAAGTGTGGGGGGATAACTTTGTATTGTATTTTGACAAAGTTAAGTCCATTTTTATGTCTTTAAATTTATTTACTATAATATTTCTTAAACCAGAACAGATATTTACTTGAAACTTAAAATTTATATGAATGGTTACAAGCAAGCTCAGATGACGAAAATTCTACAATTCCATTGAATTATGACACAAGTTATGCCCCTTTTAGGCTTAGAAAATGTTCTGATATAACCATTAATACTTAAATGTTTCTGAAACTAGAACAGATATTCACTTGAAACTATATAATATATGAAGGGTCACAAGTAAGCTCAGTATGCAAAGTTTTTCCACTCTTAATTACATTTTGACATAATTATGCTATTTTCTTAACTTCACTGCTTTTGTTTGTTTTAGTACATTGGGAAAATGAAAGGTTATTTGTAACTGTTTCAAACAAGATTTGACAATATATATTTATACTATTACCAGAGTGTACAATTTGTCTTTTTTTCACCAGAGATAATTTTTTTTTATGTATATGTATTTGTGCCACTAAAGTAATTCCCTTAACCACCTTTTCAAGTTGTCTTCTGTCAAGGACATTGGTAGGGGTATGAATCGCATTCAGCGATAGTTCTAGTTTTAAGCTCACCAGAGCCAAAGGCTCAGGGTGAGCTATTAGTATCAAAGGGGGATGCTCCAGCGTCCATGGTCCGTCGTCATGCGTCAACAATCGTCTTCTTCTCTGAAACTACTAAGCAGATATACTTCAAATTTGGTCTGTAGCATCCTTGTGACAGTCACACTTGAATTTGCTCATGTCATTCCAATTGGCCCCTTTTACGGGTCAGCAGAGCTAAAAATAAGAAAACCTTTAAACATCTTCTTCTACAGAACTAATTGATGGATGATCACCAAACTTTGTTTATAGCATTCTTGGGTAGTCTTTTATCAAGTTTGCTCATATTAATTTGATTGCCCAGGGCTAAAAATAGAAAAACCTTTAAACATCTTCTTCTACAGAACTAATGGACGGATGATCACTTAACTTTGTCTGTAGCATTCTTGGGTAGTCTTTTATCAAGTTTGCTTATATTAATGTGATTAGCCCCTTTTAGGGGTCTCTATAACTAAAAAAAGAAATACCGTTAAATGTCTATTTTTAGAGAACTAATTGATGGATGATCACCAACTTTTGTCTGTAGCATTTTTGGGTAGTCTTTTGTAAAGTTTGCTCATATGAATTTGATTGGCCCCTTTTAGGAGCCGCTTAAGCTAAAAATAGAAAAACCTCTAAATGTTTATTTCTACAGAACTAATGGATGGATGATCACCAAACTTTGTCTGAAGCATTGTTGGGTAGTCTTTTATCAAGTTTGCTCATATTATTCTGATTGGCCTCTTTTAGGGGCCGCTTAAATTAAAAATAGATATACATTTAAATGTCAATTGCTACAGAACTAATTGATGGATGATCACCAAACTTTGTCTGTAGCATTTTTGGATAATCTTTTATCAAGGTTGCTCATATTAGTTTGATTGGCCCCTTTTAAGGGCCGCTAAAGCTAAAAATAGAAAAACCTTTAAACATCTTCTTCTTCAGAACCAATTGATGGATGATCACCAAACTTTGTCTGACTTTATTTGATTAGCTCCTTTTAGGGGCCACTTAAGCTAAAAATAGAAAAACCTTTGAACATCATTTCCTACTGAAATAATTGATAGATGATCACCAAACTTTGTAGCATTCTTAGGTAGTCTTTTATCATTTTATCTTTTGCTCATATTAATTTGATTAGCCCCGTTTAAGCTAAAGCTTGAAATGCCCCAGGTCATGGCATTTCTTCAAATTATTGTTTAAACATATTCTATGCTCAAATTTAATATTAGAATATATTGACATTCCAACACTGAAAAGCAGTTGTTTCTGGTGAGCGACTCAGGGCCATCATGGCCCTCTTGTTTTATGTTGCGAAGTAGACTGTCAAGATAATGTAATAACAATCCAATTAATGGAGAACCCTTTAACTATTTTGATGATAAGGTTTTACCTTTAAAAATTGTTATAAGTCTGAATCATTGTATAATGTTTCTATACTTCCTTACTTCAATCAGCCTATACACTTAATCAATTTCATGTTTAGTACATTGCCTATCAAAACAATTTTTGTTCTTTGTGGGGCAGAAAACCAATAAATGGACACATTTTTGATATTTGTGGGGCAGAAAACCAATAAATATAACAGATAATAATTTTTTCCCTTAATTTTATTTTAATATTTCATTTCTTTACATGTGTAACCAAAACATAAAATTTTATGTTATTTGTAAATTGTAATTGTATTTCTGAGCATTTAGAAATTCACACATGGTTTCTTTTTATGAAAGAATTCTACTGATTTTTCCTAAAGAAACATTCTGTGAATGAGCAATTCACTAGAAAAAATGGGCACTACATTTTATCCCATGTATAATATAGAGGATATTGAATGAGTGTAGTTTAATACTAAATTTATTGAACGAGTTGAATAAAATCATATTATGCGAGCCTCTGGCGAGCATAATATTGTTTTATTCAACGAGTTCAATAAATTTAGTATTGAATCTACACGAATATAATATTCTATTTATCACATATATAAAATAAGAACAGTAAACTGTTAAAATGAGTAATTTTTCAATGACGCGTCTATAGTGTAACGCTAACATTAGCGCGCTTTAACGCTATGTTTCTATATAGCGCAAATGACGTCACGTCAAAGTGTTATTACACTAGTGTAATATCGTTTTTATTACATGGCTTTATTACACTCCTGCGCCGCGGTTTATGTGATAAAATGAAATATTAAATGAAAACTTTGTGTTATTTAGAAGCATAGTAAATTGCCTTTTTTAACACAAATTGACAAATACACTCACTGCTGTTTCAAGTACATGGTTTCTGCTGGCCTAAATCCAGTTATTTATAATTTACAGAACTGTCTAACAACCTTCAGTTTTTAATTCATTTGACACATTTAATAATAAATCATAGGTAAAGTCTCTGTAGTATCATGTGTACTTATATTGAATCCTTAATCAACCTTTGACCTGTAAGACATGATTGTTCAAATTGAAAACATTACAATCCATGATACAGTACAGTGTAATAACATCTTTTGATGACATAAGACTAGTAGGATAAAATATATTTTTTACATTTTAGGCCTGTAGAGGGTGATATATATGAGCTAGTGTATGAGACTAAAATACCGTTTAGGCTTCTTGATAGCAGTAACTATTTTCCATACAAGTATTATTTCAAGAAAAAAGACAAGGAAGGAAAGTATGAACATTACATTAGAGGTGGAAAAACTGGGGAGGATGTGAATAGAATCCTGTATGTTGATAAAAAATACAAAAGTTTTGGTAAGCATTTTAAAGATGTATTCATACATGACAATTGAAAATGTTACTTTACGCTACATTATAATTATTATGTTTTATAGATGTTTAGCTACCTAATAATATATGTATGTTTTTACACTGAATATGTATCATGCCATACTGGCTTAATTTAGCTTGACTTTTCTTTGAAGGAAAGAAAATAGAGTTGCTTTTGCTGTTGCCTTTGCCTTCCTTCAAAATTGTAATCTTGATTTATTGGTTTATTGTGTTCATATTTCAACACAACAGCCCTTGGGGCAGGTAGAGGTGCAATGATGTGTTCCGATGCATCGAAAACTGGTTTAGTGGGCTGATTCTGAGTCGGATATCAAATATGAGAATTTCGATTCGATTCACAGCTAAAAATAAACATAAAAGAATTTCAGTCTCTCTCTAACTAGCATACCCCTTTATTACTTGAAATATTATTGGTCAATTTAACTCAGTCATCCAATCAGTGAGCGTGTAATGTTGAATTTCTAAACAGTTGACGTCATCATACGAGGTAATTACTAGAGATAGAAAAGTTTATCCGGCAAGGCTTTATCCAGCTGATGATATTGACAGTAGCAGGATAAAAGATTATTTGTTCTTCATAAATTTTTGACTTTATCGAAGATTTTAATAGCTTTGCACAAATAATCACCATCATGAGACCATGTGTTTAAGATATGCATGGCACAACATCAAGGTCATGGATGCTGAGGGCAAGAAGTATATATTCATGTGAGCTGTGGAAGGGGATTTAGCTCTCCGTTAGACTGCCTTGATATTGCAAAATGGATTATCATCAAGTTTTAACATAGTAATCCAAGACAAACCTTGACCATCACTTACAAATAACCTTCACGTTGAAGGTCAAATTATAAAAATTTCTTCTTTTTTATGCAGTAACCGGATATAACTTTATTATGTCTCCCCCACCTCGGGGGGAGACATATTGTTTTTGCCCTGTCCGTCCGTCAGTCCGTCCGTCCGTCCGTCAGTCCGTCAGTCCGTCCGTCCATTCTTCGTTTCCGGACGATAACTAGAGTTCCTTTTGACCTACAGCTCTCAAACTTCATAGGATGAATGGTCTTATTGAGCAGATGATCCCTATTGTTTTTGGGGTCAGTAGTTCAAAGGTCAAGGTCACAGTGACGGTTGGTCAATTTCTCGTTTCCGGATGATAACTAGAGTTCCTTTTGACCTACAGCCTCAAACTTCATAGGATGATTGGTCTTATAGAGCTGATGATCCCTATTGTTTTTGGGGTCAGTAGGTCAAAGGTCAAGGTCACACTGACCGTTGGTCAATTTCTCGTTTCCAGATGATAACTAGAGTTCCTTTAGACCTACAGACCTCAAACTTCATAGGATGATTGGTCTTATTGAGCAGATGATCCCTATTGTTTTTTGGGGTCAGTAGTTCAAAGGTCAAGGTCACAGTGACCGTTGGTCAATTTCTCGTTTCCGGGATGATAACTAGAGTTCCTTTTGACCTACAGCCCTCAAACTTCATAGGATGATTGGTCTTATAGAGCAGATGATCCCTATTGTTTTTGGGGTCAGTAGGTCAAAGGTCAAGGTCACAGTGACCGTTGGTCAATTTCTCATTTCCGGATGATAACTAGAGTTCCTTTTGACCTACAACCCTCAAACTGGGGGGAGACATATTGTTTTTTGCCCTGTCCGTCCGTCAGTCCGTCCGTCCGTCAGTCCGTCAGTCCGTCCGTCCATTCTTCGTTTCCGGACGATAACTAGAGTTCCTTTTGACCTACAGCTCTCAAACTTCATAGGATGAATGGTCTTATTGAGCAGATGATCCCTATTGTTTTTGGGGTCAGTAGTTCAAAGGTCAAGGTCACAGTGACCGTTGGTCAATTTCTTAGGAAGCATCTTCTCATACAACCTTAACAATAGAAACCATCCATAGACAGCCTTCATTGAAGTGACTACCGGGTATTTACATTATCTTATCTCCATTTCCATTCCTGTTTCCATTCACAGTTATTCTCAGCAGTGGGGGAGACATGCGCTTTTTTACAAAAGCATCCTCTAGTTATTAATGAATTAATATACTTTATATTAAGACACAACATTCTTTGGGTTAAGACTGTCTTGTATATCAAACTGAAATTAACTGTGGCTCTTTTATGACCTTGTCCTTGAAAGATAAAATATTGAATTTTCTCTGATCTTTAATATAATTGACTGTTACTTGGAAAGTAATGAATGGCTTATTATTAACCAGGTTTTCCCAAGGAAAAATCTGGTTATAAGATTGAGGTATGTTGGCGGGCGGGCGGGCGGACGGACGGGCGTAAACAATTTCTTCTGTGCGCAACTCCTACATTTCTCAACGAATTTTGAAATTTTCACAGAAGCTTTGTCATCAAGTGCCCTGGTGCATATTGTCAGGGTTTTGTGATTGGATAATATTTGACCTAATTATGGCCCTTTGTTTTTTTCCATTATATAGAATATATAGTGAACAATTTCTTCTGTGCGCAACTTCTCCTAAATTTCTCAAAGGATTTTGTTCAAACTTTCACAGAAGCTTTGTCATCAAGTGCCCTAGTGCACCATTGTCAGGGTTTTGTGATTGGATAATATTTGACCTAATTATGGCCCTTTGTTTTTTTTCCTTATATAGAATATATAGTGAACAATTTCTTCTGTTCATAACTTCTCCTAAATTTCTCAAAGGATTTTGTTCAAACTTTCACAGAAGTTTTGTCATCAAGTGTCCTGATGCATACTGTTGGGGTTTTGTGATTGGATAATTTTTGACCTAATAATGGCCCTTTGTTTATTTTCCTTATACAGAATATATAATGAACAATTTCTTCTGTGCGCAACTCCTCCTACATTTCTCAAGGGATTTTGTTCAAACTTTCACAGAAGCTTTGTCATAAAGTGTCCTGATGCATACTGCTGGGGTTTTGTGATTGGATAATATTTGACCTAATTATGGCCCGTTGTTATTTTTCCTTATACAGAATATATAGTGAACAATTCTTTTGTGCGCAACTCCTTCTACATTTCTCAAGGAATTTTGTTCAAACTTTCACAGAAGCTTTGTCATCTAGTGCCCTGATGCATACTGTTGGAATTTTGTGATCGGATAATTTTTTACCTAATTATGGCCCTTTTATTTTTTTTCCTTATATAGAGTATATAGTGAACAATTTCTTCTGTTGCCCAACTGCTTCTTTCAAAGGATTTTGTAACAATTTTCACAGATTAGCTTTACCCTCAAGTGCCCTGATGTGTATTGTCAGGGTTTTATGATTGGATAAGTTTTTACCTTTTACCTTATTATGGCCCTTTGTTTTTCCATAAAATTTAATTATTAGTGTAATATATCCTATTAATCACAACAGACTTTATTTAGTTATAAAACAGAAACTATCTAGGTTGTTGCATGCCTGCCAGCTCATCTGCCTGCTTTTGGGTCATGTAGAGTCAAGGTCAAGGACATTGTTGCTAAAAATAGAGAATCTGTTTCCAGTCAGGTCACTGTTAGTAAAAATAGAAAATAGGTTCCCGGTCAATAACCTTTTTGGAATAAGATATTTTTATGAAATTTGTGGTAAAGCAAGTTTTTATGAAGACCTGACTTGGGACGGCTTTTTGGCCTCCTAGGGTCAAGGTTACAGTGACTAAAAATAAAAAATTCATTATTCATGATTAACATTGCACATAGTTACATTGTTTGTTGCTTGTATTTGTATTTCAACTACAACATACATGTATTTATCTACAATGGTGATAATTGAAAACCTGGTGTCGTGGCATTGCCATGTTTCTTGTCTTCATACTTGGACAGAATGACCTTTTGTAGAAGAACTTTTAAAGGTTGAAACGACATTGACCTTGAACTTTAAATGAGCTTGACCGTCAAGGTCAAATTATTCAGTTTTGGTTATTTATACAGTCTAACTTGCCCATGCAACCACGTGTATTAAGTGACTTTTGTCTTAAACGACTACTTTAAATTCCCCCCGATCATTTTCTCTCTATATCTTTAATGTATTAAGCGACTTTTGCTCAACGCGACCAGCGACCGCTAATTAGTCACCTAATTGACATCAATCTTTTCATTAAACGACCACTTTTACCTGTCAAGTAATTGTGTTTTTAAAGAACGCCACCTCGTTATGTCACAAGTGTCAGCAATCAAAACACAACAATAAACGTGTGAAAAACTCTATTTCCCATACCGTTTTAGCGTATGCAAATGAAGTTAAGTATACGCGTGACGTGTATAATCCAATAATATCGGATAAACAATGCAACGCTCCGCCCATACTGAGATGGTGTATACGCTTCGCTTGTTGACATTTAGACTGCATTGAATTGACCTTGAACTTGATCAGCCATTAAATTAATCGTAACAAATAGATGTAGTTTGTTTATTTCAAATGAAAAAATGCACAACAGAAAACATCTTCACTAATAGGGTTTTCGTGTTGGAGACAAGGAAAAACAACGGAGAAGTTAAAAAATTCTGGAAAAAATGTCAAACATGTACGTCATGGATCAAAACTGTTTTGTCAATAAATATCAGAACGTTATTAGCTCACCTGTCACAAAGTGACAGGGTAAGCTTTTGTGATCGCTTTTCGTCCGGCGTCCGTCCGTCCGTCCGTCGTCCGTCCGTCGTCCGTAAACTTTTGCTTTAAATGACATCTCCTCATAAACCACTGAGCCAATTTCATCCAAACTTCACAGGAATGTTCCTTTGGTGGTCACCTTTAAAAATTGTTCAAAGAATTTAATTCCATACTGAACTCTGGTTGCCATGGCAACCGAAAGAAAAATCTTTAAATATCTTCTTTTAAACAACCCTAAGAGCTAGAGCTTAGATATTTGGCATGAAACATCTTCTAATGAGTGTCTACCAAGTTTGTTCAAATAAAAGCCCTGGGGTCAAAATTGGCCCCGCCCCAGGGGGTCATAGATTTTCCCTATATGCATATAGTAAAAACTTAAAAAATC